CTCCCTTAGGGTTTTCTCAATTGTGGGCTTCAAAGTTCAAATTGGGTTTTACTTAGGGTTTTCTTAATTGTGGGCTTCAAATTGGGTTTTACTTAGGGGTGTGGGCTGTGGGGCATTGGGTATTTGGGTTGGGCCTTTTTATTTTCGGAAAATCGGTCGGTTTCTCGGTTTTTTGGTTCGGTTTAACTGAAGTTGGTTCCCGAATTGGTGGAATTTCTCATCCGAACTCCGAACCTAACAAGACAAAATTCGGTTTTGGTCGGTTCTTGCTCGGTTCGGTTTGGTTCGGTAAAACCGAACCGCATGCCCACCCCTACTGTTAGTAATGATATTAGATAAAGTTTGTATTGTTAGTATATTTTTTCTGGTCTGTTTCTTTGTAGGATAAGTTTGGCTACAAAAACTTACTATTGTTGTTAAATCCTTTGTTTTTTTCCCTATTCTAGAAGCAGAATTGAATCCAGCAAGTTCAGAGAGTGAACCACATTGGGCGAAAGCATTAAAAGTCAGGACTGATCCATTTAAATTAAGGACAAGGAGGAAGAATCGAATTGAAATCATTCGAGAAAGGAGAAGACAAACAAAGTTCAAGAAAGGGCAGCGGAAGGAAAGTAAATACATGATACCTGCCATGAAAGTAAATACAAGCAGCAGGTTTGTAATGATATCACTTACTGTTTGTACCCTTAGTATGTTTTTTCATAACAGTTAGTATTCTTTTAGTTGATATTCATATCAATGACTATTAGTAATGATATTAGTTAAAATTTGTATTGTTTGTATATTTTTCTGTTATATACAAAAACTGACTACTGCTGTTTAATCATATTGTAGAAGTGGAAACAAAGTTACAAGGACAAGGAGGAAGATTCGTACTGAAATCATTCAAGAAAGCAGAAGACAAACAATGTTACAAGAAAGGGCGGATGACAGAATATAAATACATAGAAAGAACTACTTGCCATATCATATATTACTTGATAGATACATAGATAAATTTGAGTGATTGCATAGATGCATAGATAAAGTGAATAATTGCCACATCAAACAATTCATTTCTTGCATTCTTTTTCAATTCACATTTGTATGTTTCTCATGCTTATTCTATGTTAGACAGAAACATTACGAAATAGGATACAAAAAATTACGAACCACAACAACAAAACATACAAACTACTATGATAAAAATTACAAAACCAAAACATAGATAGCAGCCACCATAACACCAATAGCCACACTACTGTTCATAAGGTCACCGCATTACAAAAGATGAGAATAGAAAATAGTACTAGTGCATACTGTCATGGATTACAAAAAAAAAACACTATTGGTTCCCTATTCCATCATTTGTCAAGCGAAAACCCAGTACTAGAACTCCCTAATGACAACAACAATTCTTCACTAAAAGACACATTCATCCTCAATTGCTCGATCATCAAATTCCTTGATCCATTCAGCAAAGTCAGCATAGCATTAATCTTCCGGTTGTAAATATAGGTTGGAGAAGACCATTTTTCCCTCATCATCTTTGTAGCCACACCTTCCCATTCTTCACAGTAGTTTAAACAGATAATGCCAGCACTAGTGAAATCATCATATGGAATTGTGATCCTTCGCCATTTGAAGTCATTATCAAAGTCATACTTTCCTGGCATGATGTGCTGAATGTAAGATGTTGCATACTGGACGACCAGCTCTCCAACCCTCCTAAACCGATCTAGAAAATGCTTAGAAGGAGAGCTATCAAGGTACTCGAAACGACGATCCTTCAAGTTAACACAATATACCATGAAATGATCATCCATACAACATGGGAAAAGCCACTGCACATGAAGAAGAAACAAAGAAGAATCATAAAAAGTACAATCATACAAAGCAGAATTGTACAAAGTGTACAAAGTATACAAAAATATGAAACAGAAGCACAAAGTGTACAAAAAATATGAAACAGAATCACAAAGTGTACAAAGTATACAAAAAACATGAAACAGAATCACAAAGTGTACAAAGTATACAAAAAATATGAAACAGAATCACAAAGTGTACAAAAGGATGAAATATTCCAACTTACATATTGGCATGTCTTGAAAGATGCACCATCTTGCAATGGGTATTTTCTGACATAAGATTTCATGACCTTCAAATATTTAGGTTCCATTTTGTCATTCACAACCTTGGACTAGGTACAATCAAAGACAAAAAAAACTTGCATTAATATGGCTAATAGATACTAAATGACATACAACAACATGTGAAAATTAACTCACCGTAAAGTCAGTTGGAAAAGACCATCTACCAATAAATCCATTCTCACAAGAAGAACAACGGTTGAAATTCTCAATATAGCAATCAAGAAATTTTATTGATAGAAAAATCTTGTCACATGTCGTTTGGGTATGCTTCCTTGACAAGCGATACTCACCTTCACCCATATCGAAAAGAATTTCATTCCTAAAAATGTATACAAACAGTTTATATTAAATTCACTAACCGAAGAAGAAAAGTACAAACTGATATATAAATGTATAGAAACAGTATGAAATGAAACTTACACAGGAAATCTGTCACTCCAAGCATATTGAATAAGTTTTTCTTCATACAATAGTTGGCTACTAGTCCGAAGTGGAGCTACCTTCTCTACCTTCTTGGAGGTAGGTTTTTTCTTTTTTTTTGCAGAATAGGAATAGGTGCTTTCATGGAAGGAGGTTTACGCTTTTTATTACCAGTAGTATATGGTGTCCTCTTTAAATTGGATGGCTTGAGCTCCCTTTTCGAGCGTCTTTGATTAACGAAATCAACATTCGACCCAGAATCTAACAAAATAGAGACAACACAAACAAAACAGACAAACATTACAAACAGCAGCAGAAAAAGTGACTAAATGTACAAACATTACAAACAGCAGCAGAAAAAGTAACTAAGTGTACAAAAAGATTAAAACTGCAGTAAACGAGACTAAAGGACAGCACCAACTACAAACATAACGATTACCTTCGACGCCATTCTTGTTCTCATCTTCACCATTTGACTCATCTTCAGCGTTATCAATAGAAATATCATCACAATCATCTTCAATCCCAACCTCATCGTTATCATCACTATTTGACTCGTCTTCTCACAACCAAAACAACAAAGATGAAACAATATAGCACATTACAAAAGACATAAAGACAGAGAACTAGATAATTAATAAACCATAAGATCTAGTTTGCAATCCATAAGTAGTGTGTACACACAACATGTGTACAAATAGTACGACAAAGAGTACAAACCATACAAACCAATCATAAAGTGCATATTTAAAAGATGTACTACAAATTTAAATAACCACCATCATTAACTAATCAAGCTTGTCACCCCGCTCACCATCAGCACCTGCTTCCACAGATTGTGCAATCTGTAAAACAACTTCCATACTATCCTTAAGTGGCAGCTCCTCGGAAACTGCGGTTGCCACGACTCCATCCTCTGCTGGCTGCTTTTGAAGTGTTGAATCAAAGGGCTGCGGAACTGCTGGATCACGAGTAACTCCAACCTTCTCCACCGCTGGCTGCTGCATCACAAGTGCTGGCGTCTTCTGGAACTCAGCTGGCTGCTGCGGAAGTGCTGGATCACTAGCACTTCCAGTCTTCTCCACTGCTGGCTGCTGCCGCACAAGTTCAGGAGTCTTCTGGAGCTCAGCTGGCTGCTGAGGAAGTGCTGGATCACTAGCACTTCCACTCTTCTCCACTGCTGGCTGCTGCCGCACAAGTGTTGGAGTCTTCTGGAGCTCAGCTGGCTGCTGCGGAAGTGGTGGAGCACGAGCACTTCCAATCTTCTCCACTGCTGGCTGCTGCCGCACAAGTTCAGGAGTCTTCTGGAGCTCAGTTGGCTGCTGCGGAAGTGCTGGAGCACGAGCACTTCCAATCTTCTCCACTGCTGGCTGCTGCCGCACAAGAGCTGGCTTCTTCAGATTAAATAGAGCTACATCATCATCAGTTTCCTCCTCACTCCTATCTCCATTATCATCATCGTCACCACTCCGATCACCATCATCGCTCCCATCACCATCACTACCACTCCCACTTCCATTCCCACTCCCACTCCCACTCCCACTCTGATACCCGCCTTCACTCTCACTCTCTACATTATCAGTTGTTGTAGCTTTCTCAACAACTTCAGCACCTTCAGAAACATTTGTTGTAACTTTCTCAACAAATTCAACACCTTCAGAATCAGTGTGCACCTCGATATCAGCTAGGTATAGGTGACACTGATTTATCTGTCTTCGGTACAACTTACCTTGCTGTTCCAACTCACATAATGCACTTTGTAACCTTCTCCTAATCAACTTAACCTACAACAAAACAAATAAAAGAAAACACAAACATAAGTTAGATAATGTACACAAATAATACAAACAGTACAAAGTAATAGACAAAAACATACAAAGTGTACAAACAGTGCAAAAAGATACAAAGTATACAAACAGTACAAAGGATGAGACAAAAACATACAAAGTGTACAAACAGTGCAAAAAGATACAAACTATACAGACATTACAAAGGATGAGACAAAAACATACAAAGTGTACAAACAGTGCAAACAATACAAAGTATACAGACAGTACAGAGGATGAGAGAAAAACATACAAAGTGTACAAACAGTGCAAACAGTACAAAATATACAGACAGTATAAACACTACAGAAAACATATCATAAAACATATAAAGCATATGAACAATCTGTACAAAGTAGCAAAGAACACATACAAAATCATACAAACTCACCTCTTGAACAGTTTTGCCATCCAGATTCAAATCGAAATATGGAAATTCATCTCCAATACCAGAACCCTTCTCACCTCCAGCAACCTCAAAACCACTAATACTCTGAGCCATCTTCGGACGAGTAGTAGAAGAAATGGGTGCATCCCTTAGAACAAACACCTTACCAAAATCCTTCCCAAACTTCTTCTCCATTTCTGCCTTCCTTTGCTTCAAATTTGTCGAACTCCACAACTAAGAGGTTGGCACCAAATTACTAACACAGCGGCTGGCCTCTTCCTCATTCACAGTTGTCCTATCGAGGAAACAAACAAGCAAGAAATGCATATCTCCCTCAACCCAACTGTGATGCTGACTTGATGTCACCTTATCACAAATGAGACCATACACATAACCGCACCAATCATAGTCACAAAAATACTTAACCATTCCTTGAGAAAGAAAAGTCAAGTATTCTATTGTCACCGTCCTAGATGTAACAGATTCGAAAAGGCGGCAAAAAATCATCAGCACATACATATTCACCCACCTAGAATCAGACTTCTTCGCTCCCATACAAGCCCTCAAATTCTCAAAACCAACAGTACCCTTCCCAGTTTTACAGAAACCATAATCTTTACCAAGGTTAGAATTCACCTTTGATGTTTTCTGCAAACACACAACATTTGGTCCCCTTGGAAGACCATAAACTCTGTAAACATCCTCTTCCGTAATACAAATCTTCTTTCCATCATCCAAGTGGATACAGTTATTCTTCCCATCCCACCTTGAAATAATGAACTTAATAAGTTCATTGTCCAGATTCTTCATCTTCAGCGGAAAGACAAAATCCAAGCCCAGCTGGTTAATTAATTGCACCCTGCCAAGAGATAAAGGAGGCAGCACATGACTCATAACCTCTTTCGGGCTGCATCGATAGTTCAAAGCAGCTTCATTCCCTCCCCCCCCGGAGCTCGCTTCTGCCTTTTTGCACGAACTGCTGCCTTCTGCTTCTCTCCAGCAACAACCTTTCTTTTCCTTCTCCCTGTATCAGAAAGCTGAACTGCCTTCCCCTTATTCTTAAGGTTCTCCCCATTCCTCTTGGTTTTAGTAACTTCAGCTTCAGCAGCATGGGTACTTGACCCTCCCACCTCTGAACCTTCTACCATCCTTACTTAACAGCTACAAAAGCAACAACAGAACAAGTCAACTAACAAATACAACAAACCATACGAAGTAGAGTAATAAACTGTACAAACCGCACAAAGTGTACAAACTATATGAACACGAGAAACAAAGTGTACAAACTATATGAACATGAGAAACAAAGGGTACAAACTGTATGAACATGAGAAACAAAGTGCACAAACTGTACAAACTATATGAACATAAGAAACAAAGTGTACAAACTGTATGAACATGAGAAACAAAGTGCACAAACTGTACAAACTATATGAACATAAGAAACAAAGTGTACAAACTGTATGAACATGAGAAACAAAGTGCACAAACTGTATGAACCATGAAGAGTACAAACAGAGGTATGAAAACACACAAACATTACTAAACAATCAATACAAGGAAACCCAGAAAGTATACAACCAACCCATTCCAACAATACAAACCCAGAAATCAACCCACAATTAAAAATGTGATTCTGACCTAGCATCAAAATCGGTTAGGGTTTTAAAGAATCGCCGGCGTCGTATTCACAAAAAGCGGTCTTCGTATTCACAAATAATCGCCGGCGTCGGCGCAGACGGAGAAGCGAGAAGAAAGCCTGCCGAGTTGAGCCCGACACACCGCCGACGCAAAGGGGAAAAATGAAAAATGTCGATGGAAACCGCCGTCGGAGCCGCTGAAACAGAGAGTGAGTGACTTTCGTTGGAAACCGCCGGACGAGGAAGACCGCCGACGCAAAGGAAGACAGCCCGAAAAAGGAAACCGCCGGATGAAAGCCGCTGAAACAACCGCCGACGAAGCCGCTGAAACAGAGAGCGACACGCCGCACCGAACGAGGAAGACTCTCGATGGAAACCGCCGCGCCGGACGAGGAAGAACGCCGACGTAACTGACGAATTTGTAGACGAAAATGGCGAATCTGAGAAAATGGGGGAAACGGAGAAGAAGAAGTCTCTCTCCCGTGAAAAATGGTGGAAAAATGGTTTGTGATTCTCTCTCCTCTCCCACGAACAGCTTTTATTCTGACATAAAAAAACGAATTTTTTTTAAATAAAACGTAAATGACCAAAACGCCCCCGTCCCTACTGCTAGGTTATTCCACCGTCAGATCTAAAAAGTAATCAACGGTGTAGAGAGGCTTAGTCTGATGATTAAGGCCCCCCCCCCCCCCCCCCCCCCCTTTTATTCACCAGATCTTGAGCCTCCTAAGTCCTACCTCTATTAATTTTTTTCCATTATGAGATTTTGTCTCTATTAATGATTAGTTTTGGCATATTCTGGTTCTGCTCTAGTGCCCTATATGGCCTTTTCCTAGCCCTTGGACAGGCTTGGTCGGCCTCTGTTTATGGGCCTGTTTGCCCTACTTTTATTTATTTTACAGGGCCAACAATTCCTACCGCGCATGCTGCAGCTTCTATTCCAGATTACTATCTTTCTCACTAGCTGCAGATAGAAAGTCATTATATGGCTTTTGCCCGTTCTCTCGGGGATGCTTGCTTTGTTTGTTATTTTGTAGGATTGCTTTGCACTTTGCTTGCGGTAGTTGAGAGAGCTTTCCTGTTGATCAAGTTTGTGTCAGCAGCAAACGTGGGAGGCATGCTTGGGCTATTTGTTAATTTTGCAGGGCCAATGGACTTTCGGCTACCTCTTGGAGTTCCAGCAATGGGTGCCATGAATTTTGGAGCGCGATAGTGGACAGTATAACCCGGACCGATACCGGACTGGGACCGGATAGTAAACAATCCAATCCAATCTTTGGGCTTAGATTTGAGGTAAAAAATTGTTCGGGACCGGATAGAAAACTGGATAAAGACCGGATAAGAGAGCTCAACACCCAAAACTTAAGGTAATTTGCATAAACGGTCACAAACCTTTGCACTTAGTACAAAACTTAACCAACTCCTCACCCTTTCAAGCCTTAGGTAACTCAAATCCCCACAAGCTCAATTTAAAATCAAGATCGAATTGGGACCGGACTGGATCAAGACCGGAATGTATCCAATCCAATCTTTGGTCCTTATATTTTCAAAAAGACCTGACTTTACCGGATCAGTTTGGGACAATTTAACCGGACCGGACCGTATAGCCACCTCTATTCATGATACAAGGATTTTCTTTCCTACTTCAATTTTCAGCATGGTTAGTTCATGATTTTGATCCTTTAAGGACAAAAATCATGATATTGCCCATGTCGTTTAGGTATCATAGGACAACCTATATCGTTGCAGGAAAGCCCTATTTTGTCAGACCTGCAAAGGTCTTTTCATTTTTCATTTGTGATTTGACCTGCAAAGGTCATGTATATTGTTATGTACTTCGTATCTACTGTTCCCCTTTAGGGATATCTATGAAAAAAAAAATACTTTAACTCAAATTCATTCTAAACAATACCGGTAGTGATCCCGGATAGTTGGTGATTTTTTGTTACTCTAATTTGATTTGTATCCCACGAGAATGTTTTTTAAACACATGAAATTATTGTTAAGTATTATGGTGCTACAAAACTAAACAACATTGGTGGAGTTTAGAATAAGAAACATGTACCGTGAGTTATGGTAGTACATGATTAAGTCGTGTATAGTGTTATAAAATTGAATGATATTGATATAGTTTATTAACTTTGTCGAATAAATCAAACAGATTTCATTGTGTAGATCACATAAAATCTTATTTTTGACACAGAAACATCCACTTTCGAAGTTGAAAAGAAATAAATACGGATTGATTAAGAATAGTAGGGGAATTGAAAAAGAAGAAATAGAGAGTGTGTGTGTGTTAGATGACACATTTTAATTGAATGAGTGGACAAGTTAGGTAGTTATGTTTATCATAAAAAATTTATAAAATGAAATAAAAAATGAGTTAGGAAAATTTTGATTGGTGATAATGGTATTGGACATGGATGCATAATAAGTCTAGAATTTTTAAATGATGAAATGTAAATGGAAAAACTTTTATTATTTAATAGATAGATGCTCAAAACTAGCATATTTGGAAAGTCTGCAGTATGTTAAGATATGACTGATATTGCCTGTGTGGATTGCTTTTTCCTTTATTGGACCACTAATTTTGCATATATTTCATTGAATTTGATGGTTATGTATCTTTCAGAATTATAGTATCCTTAACATAATCTTTTGAGTTAGTGGTTCAGATAATGTTCATAACTCTATTTTTAAAAAAAATATCTTCAGTTAATATTAGCGATTAGATTAATCGAGAGAGGAAAGAGGAAACTCTTCTGTCTTCTCCTCCACCTCGATCATTAATAACAATATTTTAAAAAATGTAAACGAAATTGTGTATTATTTTGTTAATTCATTTTAACATGTTGCATGGTAATGGCACCACCTTACCTGTGAGGTGCGATGTTCAAGAGCCCAAAGAGGATGTAAGAAAGTCCATGGGCGGTGAAGAATGACATGGCTAAATGGCCCAACCACATATGCTGAATTCATATATTGTCCACCACTTGGTTTTTGGAGAACGGATAAGCCAACGGTCCATATCGCAGGCACACGCAATGGACGTTTTGGATTCATTGAAAGCTTTAGTTAGTGGACTTTGGGCCCATAATTCTGACGAAAGTAGTTGTTTTGAATGAGGAAGCTGAAAAGGAAAGTGAAGATTTATGAGCGAAGCCGATGATCGGGTTCCAACGCGTGTCCCCCCAAATAATATTATTCCTTTCTCCAGTCCCGCCCAGCGACTCCCGCCCATCGAAGAGAAAATTTGGCGCTCCTTATTTCATTTTCGTTCCCGCGCCATCAATTAATCTGGTATTATATTTCTATACTATTGATCTGTGAACCTAATGTTAAAAGTTTAATCATATCTGTCTCCAGATTAGGGGTGTTTGACAGAGTAACCCTAGCATCGATTTTTTTCGCTGGTGAAGAGAATGGGATCTCTAGGATTGGATCTTAACTTTCCTCCTCCAACAGACAACGAAGTTGATGTAGATGATCTGGTGAGTTATATTCCTTATCGTCTTTTTCCCTTTATCGCGAAGCATTCGTGGTAATAATGTTTAAAGTTATTTTCCAATTCGGTTTGAATGGTAAGTCAGATGTTGACGAATTCTTCCTTGATCCCGAGATATTGGATCTTTCAGAGCAGGAGCAGCTGGGTAAGTCTACTTACCTAGTTCTATAGTTATGGTATCCTCACAGTTTGTCCATTTTATTTATTTCAGCATTGAATGGTGATTATCCATGTGTTTGTTTTGGTGGTTGATGACATAAAGAGTGACTTTATTGCATTTGGATGGGTCTGAGTAGTAAATCACGACAGAGTGTTTGAGTAAGTTATATACGTGTCTTCTTTTTTGTTATATTTTCTTATGTTTCAGGAAGATGGGCATCATTATTCGAAAAAGGCGACGAACGTTTACATATTCAGCCCAGCAAACCTGTAGAGTGTCTTTGTCTGTACAAGAAATATGCGCACAGCAAGGGATATAGTTTTTGTATTCAACGGCGTAGATGGAAGATTGTGAAAAATGAAAATGGTGAAGAATTTAAGTTAATGTACCTGCTTCATTTCTGCTGCAGCAAGGCTGGATGGGGTAGACGGACCAAATCCAGCCCTAAAGCGTTAGAAAGACTTCCAAAGGCTACTTAGGAGGCAATGTCAGTTAGTGAAAGAAATCGTTTTGAACTCAGGGCTGGTTTCTCAGCATATGTGAAATTTAGGTGGGACGTTGACAAACAAGCATTCACCATTATAGAATTTAATGGTGATCATAACCATCCACTGCACCGCATAGAACACAGGCATCTGCTGGTTAGCAACCGAAAAGTATCTCACGTACAGGGTCGTTTGATTGAAGACAACGAAGATGCTGGAGTGAAGCTAAAATCTTCGTATGAGCTTCTTGTTTGATATGCTGGTGAGAACTCTAATGTAGGATTCATCAGAGAAGACCACAAGAATCACCTTGGCAAACCAAGACACAAAAGATTGGTGCATGGCGAAGGCACCTATC